TAACATGCATGCAATGCGCAATGAGCAAATCATAGTAATTAGGATATCTACTACCTCAAACATTTATCATTTGGGTTGGACGAAAGTATTTATTAGGGAGTACTGAGTAAAAGTGTGTGTGCAGGTGGACAAAGCCTGGAGGGCAACAAAGAAAACAGTAGTTATGTTAGGACTTTTTTTTTTTTTTGAGATGGAATCTCTCTCTGTCACCCAGGCTGGAGTGCAGTGGCGTGATCTCGGCTCACTGCAAGCTCCGCCTACCAGGTTCACGCCATTGTCCTGCCTCAGCCTCCCGAGTAGCTGGGACTACAGGCACCTGCCACCGCGCCTGGCTAGTTTTTTTTTTTTTTTTTTGGAATTTTTGGTAGAGACAGGGTTTCACCGTGTTAGCCAGGATGGTCTCTATCTCCTGACCTTGTGATCTGCCCGCCTCGGCCTCCCAAAGTGCTGGGATTACAGGCGTGAGCCACCGCGCCTGGCCTGAGAGGACTTTTTAATAAAATGTTATATTGTGCAGTCTTTGTATCTGGACACCTCAGTGAATCTCCAAATTTAGGATAGCATAACAGCATAAAAACTATGGATTGGGACCCTCAGAAGCATGTTGAGTCCTAGTTCACCAGGTACGGGCCCTGTGCACTCATGGAGCTGTCTGCTGTATCTGGGATCAGATTCCTGTTTCTTCACAATGACATATCCTGTAACCATGAGGAGGTATCCCAAATTGAAGGACCTTCTACAATAACAACTGGCCTCTATTCTTCAAAAATGTGAGTTATGGCTGGGTGCAGTGGCTCATGCCTGTAACAGCACTTTGGGAGGCCTAGGCAGGCAGATCTCCTGAGGTCAGGAGTTCGAGACCAGCCTGGCCAACATGGCGAAACCCCATCTTTACTAAAAATACGAACGTTAGGCGGGTGCAGTGCCGCACACTTGTATTCCCAGCTACTCCGGCTGAGGTTGGAGAATTGCTTGAACTCGGGAGGCAAAGGTTGCAGTGAGCCTAGATTGTGCCACTGCACTCCATCTAGCCTGGGTGACAGAGCAAGACTCTGTCTAAAAATAATAATAATAAATTAATTAATAATAAAATGTCAGTTACGAAAGACAAAGGCCAGGGAACGTTTGAACCTTTTTCGATTAAACAAGGCGACAAAGACATGACAATTAAATGCACCATGATCCTGAATTAGATCTCGGATCTTGTAATCTCATGGCTATAGGACATGTCATTTTGAAGAGACAGATGTGAAAAGAGCATTATTGGGACAACCAGCAACATTTGAGTAAGGGCAGTATATTCAGTATTGTATCAGTGTTACATTTCCTGAGTTGCACATGCATGCTGTGATTATGTAAGAGGATGTTCTTAGGAGATACGTACTGAAGTACTTAGGAGAATAGTGTCATTTTGTCTGTAGCTTACTCTCAGTCTCAGTTTTTCTACAAAAACTGTTGCATGCATGTACACACTCCTAAATCACACCTCATTCCTTATAGGCAGGTGGGAAGATACAAGTGTGTGTTAGACATGATTTTCTAGGCTGACAAGAGGGACTGTTCAGTTGGGCAGGGGCAGCCCAAAGTCTTCATAGTTGCTGTGTCTAATCTGAGTGAGAACTGAGGTGAGTTTTAGAACGAGAGAGAGATTCAAGAAGAAAGATTCCCAATGCATATGCCAGCTCTTAGTGTTGTGGCTGGAAAGTAGGAGGCATCTGGTGTTGTCCTGTAAAGGCAGGCCGAGAAGATAGCCTCACGTGCCATGAGAAGGTATTTGAACTTCTTCTATAGACATGATGGGTCTGTTAGGGTTAGGGTGAGGGTTAAACTCTGGCTAAAATGGCTTAAATGATAGTAAGTGTATTTTCTCACATAACATGAAGTTCGAAGGTGGGAAAGTACCATGGTTGCATCACTTAGCCGTTCAGAGATGATTTACCCACCCCAGGTGTTTGTGGTTTTGGCTACAGCCATTCTCAGCATGCAAGTGGTGTCTGCTCTCCTGGCTACAGGGTGATTGTCACCCGCCCATGACGAGATCTAGTGAAGAAGAGGAGAGAGATTTGTTTCTGAGCATCCCTTACTGTTAGGAAGGAACACCTTTTCCACAATGGTCCTGGTTCAGTGTACCTTCAGATTCCCTTAGCTGAGATTGTGTCACCTGCAAAGGGGAATGTGATCATGGTGGTGGGCTTATCTGGTCACTCCCCCTCCTGTGGCCAGGAAAGGTGTTGCCCTTCCTCAGAGGAACCTCCCAGGGAGCCACCTCAGATCATGTGGGCGTTGCCAGCAGCATGGGGCCAGGGGTATTGGGTAAGCAGACATTAGGGTCTGCCACCATGCAGAAAAAATGTTTTAATTTTTTCTTTTTTTTTTTTTTTGACATGGAGTTTCACTCTTGTTGCCTAGGCTGGAGTGCAATGGTGATATCTCAGTTCACTGCAACTTCCACCTCCCAGGTTCAAGCGACTCTCCTGCCTCAGCCTCCCGAGTAGCCGCAATTACAGGCGCCTGCCACCACGCCCAGCTCCTTTTTGTATTTTTAGAGGAGACAGGGCTTTGCCATGTTAGCCAAACTGGTCTCGAACTCCTGACCTCAGATGGTCTGCCTACCTCAGCCTCCCAAACTGTTGGGATGATAGGCATGAGCCACAGTGCCTGGCTGATGTATGATGTTTTTTGTTTGTTTTTTTGAGATGGAGTCTCACTCTGTTGCCCAGGCTGGAGTGCAGTGGCACGATCTTGGCTCACTGCAAGCTCTACCTCCCGGGTTCACACCCTTTTCCTGCCTCAGCCTCCCGAGTAGCTGGGACTACAGGCATCCGCCACCACGCCCAGCTAATTTTTTGTAGTTTTAGTAGAGACAGGGTTTCACCGTCTTAGCCAGGATGGTCTCAATCTCCTGACCTCATGATCTGCCCACCTTGGCCTCCCAAAGTGCTGGGATTACAGGCATGAGCCACTGTGCCTGGCCTGATATTTTAAAGTATTATACAGCAGCTTATTATACCTCCTGTTATGGATAGCAGTAATAATAATACACAGTACTTAGCATTTACCACCCACAGGCACTCTTTGTTCCCAGTCGTGTTTTACACTTATTTATTCATTTGGTCCTCACAACAGCCTTATGAGGTGTAGAGGCCATTGTTACCCCTAGTTTCCAGATGAGGAAACTGAGGCAAAGAAGGGCTGAGTAACCTACCAAGGTCACATCACTAATGAATGGGGAGCTGGAGTCCAGTGTGGGCAGCCCCAGTCTAGATTCTGTAACCACTAGGAAAAACTGCCTCTGGGTATTTTTTGTGCTTTTTTTTTTTTTTTTTTTTTTTTTTTTTGGATGCTACAGATAATACTAAGATGAACATATTTCTGCATACCTCTTCCTTTGCACATATATGAATAGCCTGGCCATCATGGGTTAGAGTACGTGGGAGATGAGAAGGTAGAGATGACATGTGTAGACCACACTTCAGAGAAAAGTTACTTTGAAAGGGAGCAGAAAAAAGGGGTTGTTTTAGTTCCCATTTGTTTCCTTATCAGGAAGGATGGATTATTTTGTTTAGTGTTTTATCTCCCCTTGGGATGATGACCTGCTTATGTCCTTTTATAGTCGGGACTCAGTGTGCTTCTCATCTTCCTGTGTGATTGACATTTACTCTTTTCATATACTACAAATACTTTTAGTCTCTTTATTTTCTTTTATTTTCAACTCTTTGTATTTTCTGTGTATGTCTTTATTATCATTTCCTGCAGCTTCAACACTTTAAGAAATCACTGATTTCATTTTGTGTTAAAGCTAGTTTATTTTTTGTATTTTAACTTTTAAATAATGTAATTGGCCGGGCACGGTGGCTCACGCCTGTAATCCCAGCACTTTGAGAGGCTGAGGCGGGTGGATCACGACGTCAGGAGATTGAGACTATCCTGGCTAACACTGTGAAACACCCTCTCTACTAAAAATACAAAAAGTAGCCGGAGAATGGCGTGAACTCGGGAGGCGGAGCTTGAGATCGCGCCACTGCACTCCAGCCTGGGCGACAGAGGGAGACTCCGTCTTTAAAAAAAAAAAAAAAAAAAAAGTAAGATTGAGTTTACTCTCCTTAAATTGCTTTTCATCCAAGTCAGTGCCCAATTACTTTTCTACACACATACATTGTTTTTTGTTGTTGTTTTTGTTGTTGTTTTGAGACGGAGTCTCTCTGTCGCCCAGGCTGGAGTGCAGTGCCGCGATCTCGGCTCGCTGCAAGCTCCGCCTCCCGGGTTCACGCCATTCTCCTGCCTCAGCCTCCCGAGTAGCTGGGATTACAGGTGCCCGCCACCTCGCCCAGCTGATTTTTTGTGTTTTTAGTAGAGACTAGGTTTTACCGTGTTAGCCAGGATGGTCTCGATCTTCTGACCTCGTGATCCGCCCACTTTGGCCTCCCAAAGTGCTGGGATTATAGGGTGAGCCACTGCGTCCAGCCACACATGCATTCTTAAAAGCATTTTAAAATTATAATTCAGTGAATTTGGGGTCTTCCCATTGTTTTCTTTTAATTTGTGTATCTGAGTTTGCCCTGACACCACACTATTATGATAAATCTATTAGGGCTGTTCTCATCTGTTTAACTTTTCTGTCTTCAGAATTGGAAGGATATATTTTTTTTATTTTCCCTAATAAACTTGTAAATCATTTTGATATTACTCTTTGTGTTTTTTTTTTTTTTTTTTTTTTTTTTGAGACGGAGTGTTGCTATTGTTGCCCGGGTTGGAGTGCAACAGTGCGATCTTGGCTCACTGCAACGTCCGCCTCCCGGGGTCAAGCTATTCTCCTGCCTTAGCCTCCGGAGTAGCTGGGATTACAGGCATTCGCTACCACGCCTGGCTAATGACATGACTCTTAAGACATGCTAGTGTTCGCGCTGAATGCCCCATTAGGTTAAGATCATAGAAACATGGCAGTTGGAGAGCTGTTAAGGTTGCTTAGTTTCTCATTTCCATTTCTGTTTAATTTCTAGATTTTGGATCATTGTTTGACTTGGAAAATGATCTTCCTGATGAGCTGATACCCAATGGAGGAGAATTAGGCCTTTTAAACAGTGGGAACCTTGTTCCAGATGCTGCTTCCAAACATAAACAACTGTCGGAGCTTCTACGAGGAGGCAGCGGCTCTAGTATCAACCCAGGAATAGGAAATGTGAGCGCCAGCAGCCCCGTGCAGCAGGGCCTGGGTGGCCAGGCTCAAGGGCAGCCGAACAGTGCGAACATGGCCAGCCTTGGTGCCATGGGCAAGAGCCCTCTGAGCCAGGGAGATTCTTCAGCCCCCAGCCTGCCCAAACAGGCAGCCAGCACCTCTGGGCCCACCCCCCCTGCCTCCCAAGCACTGAATCCGCAAGCACAAAAGCAAGTGGGGCTGGCGACTAGCAGCCCTGCCACGTCACAGACTGGACCTGGTATCTGCATGAATGCTAACTTTAACCAGACCCACCCAGGCCTCCTCAATAGTAACTCTGGCCATAGCTTAATGAATCAGGCTTCACAAGGGCAGGCGCAAGTCATGAATGGATCTCTTGGGGCTGCTGGCAGAGGAAGGGGAGCTGGAATGCCATACCCTACTCCAGCCATGCAGGGCGCCACGAGCAGCGTGCTGGCTGAGACCCTAACGCAGGTTTCCCCGCAAATGACTGGTCACGCGGGACTGAACACCGCACAGGCAGGAGGCATGGCCAAGGTAAGTGAGCTGACGCGCTTTCAATACTTCCTACCTAACCGCGGGCTTTCCCTCTGAGTAATACGTAAAATGGGACCTTGCGGCCCACTCCTGTTTCTCCTCTTGGGCTCTCCATGTGCCACTCATACTTGGAAGAGACAGATTTCTTTCTAGGTTAAAGATCTCTGCACCATTTCTGTCTTTAAAATGAGAATTCTTAAAGAAGTAGGATAGCTTGCAGGTCAGGCAGTTGGAAAATACAGGGCCTGATGTGTCCATGAACCTGTTAAAGGTTGCTTCCCGCCTCTGTACCGCCCACTGAGGAGGTGATCGTTAGTCTGTGTGCTCCTCTATGGCAACCTAGTGAAGTATCTGTTGTCACAGTGTCCATTTCACTGAATGAGAAAGCTGTGTTCCAGGGTTGTCAGCTCACTCTCTGCCATGTTAACAAGCAAGAGGTGGCAGAGCCGGGGAGAGGCATGGGCATTCGGGTCCCAGAAGAAACACTAGTGCAGTGGTGCTTGAAGTGGGGTCCCCCAGACCAGCAGCAGCAGCAACAGCAGCATCCCCTAGAAGCTTGTTAGAAATGCACACTTCTTTATTGACTCAGAAACTCGGGGTGGGGCCTGGGCTTTAAGAAGCCTCCAGATGGATGCTGGACGCAGTGACTCATGCCTGTGATCCCAGTAGTTTGGGAGGCTGAGGTGGGTGGATAGCTCAAGTCTAGGAGTTCAAGACCAGCCTGGGCACTGTAGCGAAACCCTCTTAAATTTTGAAAAAAAAAAAAAAAAAATAGGCAGCAACAGCAGCCTCCAGGTGGTTCCAAGCTCTCCCACTCCCCCAACACACACACACACACGGCCAAGAGCCCTGCTAGGGTAGGGAAAGGCCTGGACTGGGATTTGCAGCCACCAGCCTTGCAGCTGCCTTCTAGAGTAGGAACTGAACTTGGAGAAGGGGGAAGGCATATGCCTAGATAGATGTGAGACAGCTGGAAAAGCCCAGGGCTGACAGGGAGGAGTGCAGAGAAGGAAGCGCCGCCTATTCCCACTGAAGTGACAAACACTGTGGATGCTCTGCAGCCAGAGGCTTCTCAGCGGCAGCCACCAGGCATGCCTTCAGGCAGTGAATTCCGCACATCCCAAACAGAAATTCAGTTTGGGTTGTTCTTTGGATTTGTTTAGTCCCAAATAGGAGTGAGGGAGAAATAAGAGTAGAACACAGTTTCCCCACAAGGTTGATGAGAGCATTGGGTGATGGGTCCGAAGCCCTGTGACTGTCGGAAACAAGGAGAGGATTTTTTTTTTAAGAAATGAAGGTGGAGTAATTCTCAGTGTTTAAATTGCATTTGTCTCTTTTGAAATGTTAGTAGAGGGGAACGTGAACTTAAATTTTACTTGTACCTGGCATTTGAAGAAGAGTCTGTACGAGTGTGTCATTTAGAGTCGATTGAGAAGGAATTTCTCATGGGTTTATGGTTCCTGGAGAGATGATCTGATCCGTGTTCCTTGTCCTAATTCAGTCATCACTCTATTCCTTACTACCCATTTTTAAAACTCCGTCTATTCTGGAGAGTTTAAATCATACGAAGTCGACATAATAGTATAAAACAATGATTCCCAAACTTTTTTTTAATCTCACGACTCCTGAATAATCTTAATAATTACTGAGGACCCCAAAGAGATTTCTTTAATATGTGCAGTATACCTCTCAATGTTTACTGTGTTAAATAGTAAAACAGAATTTTGAAACACATTTCGTTATCCGTGCAGCTCAGTGGCGTCACATATCACAAAGTAACTAGAAAACTAGATCTACTGTGTTCTTGTGAGAGAATGAGAGGGAAAAGGCAAATCATGTCTTAGTATTTTATGGAAATAGTTTTGACATCATGATCCCCCTGAAAGGGCTGGGACCCTGGACTGCACTTCAAGAGCTTTTGATAACATGTATGTAGAAGTTAGACTTTGTAGACCTAAACACAAAGCCGTTGTCACATGTTAACAAATTTAACAGTAACTTCATGTCATACAGTATCCACAGAACAGCCACGTTTCCAGTGGTCTCATCTGTTGTAATTTGTTTTTTTTTTTTTTCGAGATGGAGTTTCACTATTGTTGCCCAGGCTCTGGAGTGCCTTGACGCCATCTGGGCTCACTGCAACCTCTGCCTCCTGGGTTCAAGTGATCCTCCTGCCTCAGCCTCCCGAGTAACTGGGATTACAGGCGCCTGCCACCACACCCGGCTTTTTATATTTTTAGTTAGAGTCGAGACCAAGCTGGTCTCGAACTCCTGACCTCAGGCAAACCGCCTGCCTCGGCCTCTCAAAGTGCTGGGATTACAGGCGTGAGCCACTGCGCCCAGCCTGTAATTAGTTTTTATAGATTTTAACTGAAAATGTACATTTCAATCAGTTGATATGCCTCTTAAGAATCTGTTATCTGTTGGTCTGTGGGATCCTTACAGTTTATTTATTGAAGAAACATGTTTTAGTTGTTGTCTGCTATTTATCCTGGGGAGTGTCTTCCGGAGGCTGGACTTTGCTGATTACACCTGTAACACTTCATGCTCCTCTGTCCACCCAGGCTTTTCATTCCATCCTGGGGTTCCTTTACACAGAGTGGTCTTTCTTTCAAACAGGAACTCGTGGATGTCACTGTTTGGAAAGTGAGCCTCGTTAGCATGCTGGGGACAGTTGTCTCTTGTTTCCTGTAGGTATCTCAAAGCAGCCCACTAGAGGTGGGTAGAGTGCATTTTTTAAAGATGTGTCATGGCCTTTGGGTGGAATGAAGGACCAAGTCGTGTTGGGCAGAAAGTAAGAACAAGAGACAAGTCCATTTTAACCCATTCCCTCTCTAGAACCTTATGACAGCAGAGCCAACTAGATTTTAAAATGCACAGGGAAAAGGCAATTTTTTTAAAAGATAATTTTGTTTTAAGAACTGTTACGCAGGAAGTAATTAAATAATTAAAATAATAGGAAAAAAGCAGCATCCTCCTTACAGATAAAGTTTTAAAATACATAATGAAACCAGACTGCATAAGCACCTTGCTGTTTTACTTGACAGTGTACCTTAGATGGCTTTCCGTGACACTGCACAGAGATTATTTTTTTCTTACTGATAGCAAAGTATTCCATTATATGATGCATCATAATTTATTGATCTAATCCTCTGAGGATGAACGTTTGGATTGTTTCTAACTTTTCGCTAGTACAACAATGCCTGTCCACATATGTCATGGATTAGATTCTGAAAAGGAAAATTAGTGGGTCACAGACTTGTTAAAAGTTTTGTTTTTAGAAAGTAAACATGCATGTGATTTAACAACAAACAACCGTAAAAATACTCTAAGGGTAAGAACCAAAGAGTTAATCCTTAATTCTTGAATTTTGGTTCTCCCAAATTCTCACCAAAGGCAACTATTATTTCTTATCTGTCCCACTAGAGATGGTGTATGCATATAGAGGCGTAGAGAGAGGCGTGTGGGCATGTGTGTGCTATCTCCCCAGACATAAAGAGTAGCATTACAGAACATTTTCCTGTGAGTGTAGATGTTCCCCTCCCCACCCACGGCTTACCAATACAAGTTGGAAATTCTTCCATGCTCCGTGTAGCTGTCAGTCATTCTTCATAGGTACAATAGGAATTCCTGATTTGGGTGTATCATAATTTAAGGACTTGTGCTATGTAGGCTGAGCATGTAGGTTATTCCCAGTGTCTTGCTATTTTCACAGTTTTACTTTGAACACATTGTACATACATCTTTCTACAGCTGAGTGACCATATCTGCTAGATAATTTATTGGACGTGGAATTTCTGAATTAAAAGATACTGAGATTTTAAATAAGCGTAATCTCAGATACTCTTCAGAAATATTGTGCAAATTACACCTTCACCAAGAGTGGATGAGTCTCTATCCAGATCTTGACCAACACTGAATATTACCATCCTTTTACTTACTTGACATTCTGTTAAGCAAATTGTCTTCTTTGTTAAGTGTGGCTTTTCATAAGGTCACTGGCAGTTGTATTTTACTGATTGTTCGTAATCTTTGTCCATTTTTCTCTTGAATTGTTTGTCATTTTTTCTCATTAATTTATATTCTTAAGTCTCTTAAAACATGTTTTTCCCCTTTGTTATTTGCCATAGTCTGTTTCACCAGGAATATGGTCACATAGGTTTACAATGTTTTTACCAAGTGTATGTTTTCAGTTTGTATAGGAACACATTTATGCATTTATTTCCTTCATGACTTTTAGGTTTTATGTCACATTTTAGAAGTACTTTTCCAGGCCGGGCGCGGTGGCTCAAGCCTGTAATCCCAGCACTTTGGGAGGCCGAGACGGGTGGATCACGAGGTCAGGAGATCGAGACCATCCTGGCTGACACGGTGAAACCCCGTCTCTACTAAAAAACACAAAAAACTAGCTGGGCGAGGTGGCGGGCGCCTGTAGTCCCAGCTACTTGGGAGGCTGAGGCAGGAGAATGGCGTGAACCCGGGAGGCGGAGCTTGCAGTGAGCTGAGATCCCGCCACTGCACTCTATCCTGGGCGACAGAGCGAGACTCCGTCTCAAAAAAAAAAAAAAAGTACTTTTTCTATTAAAAAATTATGAAATATTTTCCTGTATTTTTCTCTTTATTACTTGACTCTTTTTTTTTTGGAGATAAGGGTCTCAGTTTCTTGCCCAGGCTGGAGTGCAGTGGCATGATCTCGGCTCACTGCAACGTCCGCCTCCTGGGCTCAGGTGATCCACCTGCCTCAGCCTCGCCAGTATCTGGGACTACAGGCACGCAACACCACACCTGACTAATTTTTGTATTTTTTTGTGGAGACAGGGTTTCGCCATGTTGCCCAGTCTGGTCCTGAACTCCTGAGCTCAAGCAATCCACCCACCTTGGCCTCCCAAAGTGCTGGGATTACTGGCCTGAGCCACTGTGCCTGGCCTCCTTGAATCTTTAACTCAATTTATTTTGGCATAAGGAGTGAGACACAGAGATCCAGCAGTATATATTTTTTC